CTAAAAGCAATCTTAGTCACACTTAGTCTCCTAATCTCCTAGTAATAAGCAAAGCATGTACTCTATAGTCTCAGGATTCTGCTCAGCTATGGTGTTTGAGATAACTACTAATTGGCCATAAAACATCCTTCCAATGCCAAGGCTGGAATTCAGCTCTGACCATCAAAGGTAAAGACAAAGTAAGTTAGTTATTAGGATGAAACAAATCCAGCTGTACCCTGTAACGGAAATAACATGAGACAGTAAGTCTCTAGGAAGGACAAGCTTCTAAGGAGACTGGACCTTGGGAAGGAAGAAATAATGAAACTATGTAGAAGGCAAATGGGTACAGATTTATCTCTGGGAAAAAATACCTCAATGATGTAATAGTCAACTGTCTGGTATAAAAAGGGACATGCTGTAACAATAAATTGAGACACTTCTCTTCCTGAAAAAGCGCTTCTGTGTCTCCGTGCGTTTTTCCTTTTTCCTCCCCGACGCTGTCTCCACCAAAGGGCTTTCCTCAGGACCTGTGGGAGCTGGTCTCCCGCATTAAATAAAGAATTGAGTGCAGTGGAAAGAACACCGGGTAGCTCTGCCACCCAGGGTCCATTCCAACCCTTCTGTTACTTAGCTCCCTCACCTCCATAATGGTAATGTTATTAAAATCCACAGTACCCATTACAGAGGAATGCTGTGAGTACCAAACACAATAAAGCATGTAAAAGTGGATAAACGTTAAGTTTGAATAACCTAATCCACCCTCACTTTCGCTTCCATGGTACAAACAGGAAACACCTAGATCCAAAATTGAGAGTCACTGAGATACAATGAAGATCACCAGGGCTGCCTGCCTTGGCCAGCGTATTGGTACAGACAGAGCTTCCGCCTGACAGGAACAGCTAATGCAGTTGGCTAAATGCTCCTCTGGGACCTATTGGGTCGTCGGAAAAGTCATGACGCATGTTTGCGACACATGGTGCCAGTTCATTTTTGGAAGTACTAGAGTCATTCGCATCTCTGTTATTGCTATGTCATTTGACAGCTGACAGTTCTAGCTTCATTATAAAAACTGAAACAATTGAGCGATTTGGTTGAGTTTTGAAGATTTTACAAGTTGAAGATGGAAGACCAAACTGTGCATTTTTGCCATATTTTACTGTTTTACTTCCATAAAGGGAAGNGTCGTGGGATGTAGAGTATAGTGTGGGAGTGGAGTCAATGAAATTGTAATAGATATGTATGATATGGGTGGGTGGGAGTGGGGAGGTGGATTGGGGGAGGGGGGTTGTTACTTTGAGGGGTAAAAAAAGTACAACTATTGCACTGTGCTGTACACCTGAAACTAGTTAAAAAAAAAAGTCATTGGGATGAAATGTACAGCATAGGGAATGTCATCAATAATATTATGATAACTATGTATGGTAACAGATGGTATAACTAGACTTATTGTGGACATAATTTTGTACTGTATATAAATATCAATCACTATGATGTCCACCTGAAACTAATAGGATATTGTATGCCAATTATACTTCAAAGAAAAATAAAAGAGCTCCACAAAACAGAGGAATCAACAAGGAAACACTCTATGCCCATTCTCCACATACAGTATGTTACTTGTACCTGGTTATGGGATTTACAGATATTATCAAATGCTTACCAGATAGAGAAGAGGCTTACAAGGATTTCTGCAAAGTAATTTCAAATTTAAAATAATACCAATAATACAAACATGAATAACTAAAAAACAGCAGGGCTGACATCTTTTCTTAAGCTCTCTGTCAACCTCATTATGAGGTAAAACAATGACTATGAAATTAGATTAGACCTGACAAGATACAGTCCTCCCAAATCAAAATTATCAAGAAGTATCCGAAGTGTCCACTATCCTTACTTCTGAACCTTTTCCTTGATGTACAATGGGTTTTGAGGTATTTGTTACAAATAATAGTGCACATACAAAATTTTAGAAGAATATTTTAAATATATTCTGACAAAATTTTATACCGCTAAGGGTATAGAATCAACCAAGATGGAAGCAGTATTTAAGGAACAGTGCATGCAACTACTGATGGATGCATGTTGAGAGTTTAGCTAAGCTACTCCATGGTATTACTGCCTCTGCATCCATTTTGTGTGGCCAAATGGCCTGCTGGTGCCTTGAATTGAAACCAGCTCCTCATGCAAGCACATGCCCTAGAGAACAGCCCGCAGAGCTACAAGCAAATGTAAGTTCCTGGTATGATTCTCCCAAAGGCCCTTGTGATCAGTCTCCCCTATCTCCCAGGGGTGTGCCCTTGTGTGCCCTTAGAAAAGACTCCCAGGGAGCTTACCAAAACCCCACTGTTTGTTTGTTTAAATTGACCAACCTGGCCTTAGCCTCGGAGCTCCAAAGCACTCTACCGAGCCTGATAAAGACATGTGCCCCAAGTCCTGTCTTTCCATCTATACTCTGCCTTGACCTTCCTGTGTGGCCCCTGGGGGCACACCTTGTACTTCCTTTATCTATGAGTCATACATTTCTCTATTTCAATTTCCCTGGGGTTTTTTTGTTGAACTGCAGCTCTCCATCTGGCACCCTGTGCTCCACTTAACAAATGTTAATTTAACAAAGTCATGGCAATGCACATGGCACAGTGCAAACGTGTGAGCATTGGAGCCACACAGGCCTACGGGAGAGTCACAGCTCTGATGCCCAACCAGCTATGTGGTCTGGTTAAAGCCCTGGGGCTCCGACTTCTAATTTATAATGGTGTGAAAACAATACCTGTCTCATAGGATTGTTTTTGGGCTTGAGTAAGAACACTTGGAACATGTATTTTTTTTTTACTTTCAAGTTGCCAAAAAACAAAGATCTGCATTTGTGTAGTAAGAAAGGGCAAGTTGAGAATATATTGGGTTGTCGGAAAAGTCATGACGTATTTTTCTATGTTTTTCATTGCAAAAATGCGCCATGACTTTTCCGACAACCCAATAGTATAATACTATTTAAAAGTTGCATAATTTGTTTTTGCTAGGGTATAGCACAATAATCTGCCCCACAACAGACAGAATTTTTCCATGTTAACTGAGGTTTAAGAACACAATTGGAAACTTTTAACTTACCACATTAAAATCTAGATTTTCTTCAACCCATGATTTTGCCTCTTCAAATTCATCTTTCATTTCCATAATAAAAAGTGTATCCAGAGCATCTACTATTGTTGCTCCTTTGATATTACCTGAAAATATCAGAAAAAGTTTTATTCAATAAATTACTTTTGATAAATAAATGCATGCAAACTGACTATACCTTGAAAAGGGAGAGGGGTAATACTGAATTCACTAATAAACAGTGATATTGAAAACAGTATAAAATTCTTTCAGTGAAGGAAAATTTCAAAACTGCACCAGAGCCAAACTAAAAATTATCATAGGCCATAGATTGAGACTCTGATCTTTAAAGTTTCTTCAGAGCTATAAAAAATAAACCTCTTAGAAATTTCATTTGTGATTACACTCTCTAGCAAAAAAAAAATATATATATATATTGACCTAAAATAAAGGAACACACATATTAATTTTGATGTAATTATATCAAAGTGCATTAACTATGAAGATCTGCTAAACCACCCAATGCTTTGATAATTCAGTATTTACACACGTTTTATGCAATAGACTATGAACTCTGAAAAGACTTGTATCGTGTTTATTAAGGGCAGCGCTGGAAGTACAGCCAAACACATGGAAGGTCCTAAATAAATGCAAACGCATAGTGCGGGAACTAGGAACACGGCCTCGGACCTTAGCCACACCTGGGCTCAAGTCCCAGCTTAGCCAGTTAGTAAGTGGCTGACACTGAGCAGCAAGCTCTTCTCTAGCTTCACTTTTCTCATCTATAAAACGTATATAATAATGAGGTTAAATGATATGATGCACAAATGGCCCTTGGCACACAGTGTCAGCTGACACTGTTGTTATAGGATTTGACACTATATAACAATTTCAGTTCAAGTATAGAAAGTCACATTTTCTATTGTGAATTTGGAGATGTCAGAGTAAGACTCCATTCCCTTCATCCTGTTACTTATAGACAAAATTGTGGGGGTTAAATTGCCGGGAGCCGCTGGATGTCTGGGGCACTCTGTCTTAAGAGTTTTAAAAGAATTGAGTTTGGAAATGACCAGCTTAATCTAAATGGGCTAATTATCATTTAATGCCTCAATGCTATTTGGTTAATTAGAAAATAGTTTACAGAAGTCAGAATTGGCCTTTTTTGTGCTGAGCCTGAAGTCTGCAGTAAGGGTTAAGCCTGGCTGCTGACAAGCTGACAGGCTCTCAGGCCCGGGTGAGCAAGGTGGGAAGGTTGCTAGATAGATCTCATTCTCCACTGTGCTGCTGCAAGCCTACGTCACAGACAACTTTGAAAGTTACAGAGTGAATTGCCAGCCTGTTAGCAGTTTCTACTTGCTATACTTTGTCTCGCTTTGGGA